ACAAGCAGTATTAAAAACCAGATTACCTTTGTGATGCTAAATACTTCTGAAGTGTTTTCACAAAAGGGATGACTAAGACTGGACATGGAAAGGAGAAAGCAGAAAATTCATTTGTTAGAGCAACTTGCTGTATATGAGCTCTTCTCTGCAAAACTCTGTGGAAGAGCAGCCATAGTAAGAAATTTACTTCTTAACCTTGAGAAATATATGAACAAAGCCTCAACAATATTTTAAATTGTGCTTTTGTGAGGTTGAAAATGACATGGCCTCCGACTCATGACACGCGGTAAGGATTTGTTCCTTCCCTAGACAGTGAGAACATGCAGTGGCTCTTGGAAGCCACACAACATCCAACCTGTGAGGGACCAAGTCAGCTGAGGCTTTACAGCTCCTATGAGGCAACCTGAAAAGGGCTTAAAGCATCTCTTTATTCCAGGCTAGCTCCCATCATCATTATCACCCAAGGAAGATAAAATTTCATGGAAATTAGCAGGGGGTTGGGGGGGGGAGGTCCCCTTAAAGGAACATCAGGAATAACGTTGCTGAGGGGTTCCTTCTGCTGCAAGGCACTTGGCGCACTGAAGGACAGTTCCTCACTTCCCAGCCAAGTGCCTGCTCTCCCACCAACCACACTCTTCTTCAGCTCAACCCTGAGCAAAAGTGGAGACAGAGATGTTTTCCTGACTGTGGCAGGGAAGTCCTCTTCATTACAGTGTTGATGTTAAATGTGAGCATCTCCATAGCTGTTTCTGCCTTAAGTAGGCAGCAGTTCAGGGGAAATTGTTCTCCTCTGTCAATTAGGGTTATTACAACTTGATTAAAATCTCCTCCAGAACCTTAGGGAGTTACATACAGCAGGGAAAACAAAGAATGCCAAGAAAGGCCTTCCCGTACAGACCAAAAAAGATGCAACAGCATTTGCTTACATGTTCATAAAAGGGGAATTTTATCTAGCTGCTAACAAGTCTCCAAAATTTTAGCCCAAGCAGTGAATGCTTGAGAAAGGTTTGCAAATCCTTGAAACTGGGGAGGGATCTGGTGCTTGAGACAGCCAACATAGCCAAGAGAGCATTAGCTCTGATGAAGAAAGCTGTGCTCAGGTGCAGTCATTTACTTGCTGTGAAGCTATTTTCCCCTGTCCCAGCTCACAGAGACAAGAGGCACAAATTTGTATTGTGCTGTTTGTACAGTTGCTTTCCAGAGCAGAATGGCACTGGTTTGGGTTTTTTTATTACTCCCCCTGCAATTCATAGTGCTTGAATAAATGGAGTATGAGCCTGAGGCATTTGAAAGCAGAGGATGTTTGGTTTTTAGGCTTTTCTGCTTGTTGCAATCTGTAGTTGAACAGCAAGTTCATAATTAAAGGGAAGGAAGGAAAAAAGCTTCCTGGGAAAGCCAGTGGCCATAGCGCTCAGCGCAGCACCTGTGTTTCTGTGTAAATGCCGTACATCCCTGCATGCCCCTGCCTGGAGGTCCCCCCTTCTTGGTTTCCTGAATCACACACATAGAATGGTGTGGGCTGGAAAGGACCTTAAAGATCACCTAGTCCCACCCCCCCTGCTATGGGCAAGGACACCTCCCACTAACCAGGTTGCTCAAAGCCCTGTCCAACCTGGCCTTGAACACGTCCAGGGAGGGAGCATCCACAACTTCCCTGAGCAACCTGTGCCAGTGTCTCACCACCCTCATAGTGCAGAATTTCTTCCTAATGTTCAATCTAAATCCACCCTCTTCCAATTTAAAGCCCCTCATCCTATCCCTATATGCCCTTGTAAAAAGTCCTCTCCAGCTTTCTTGTAATCCCCCTTCAGTGACTCGAAGGCTGCTATATGGCCTCCCTGGAGCCTTCTCTTCTCCAGGCTCAACAGCCCCAACTCTCTCAGCCTGTCTTCATAGGGAAGGTGCTCCATCCCTTTGATCATTTTCATGACACTCCTCTGGACCCGCTCCATCAGCTCTGTGTCCTTCTTTTGCTGAGGACTCCAGAACTGGACACAGTACTCCAAGTGGGATCTTCTTCCTGATCTTTTTCCCTCTATCACGGCACCTGCATTGATCTGGGAGGTAAGGAAATATTTGTAGGACCCCAAAGGCAGAGAATAAAAAATCAGGCCTCTTGACCATCGAGCTGTCAAGCTTTTACCTCTGGCCTCCCCTCAGCAACTTCATTGCAGGGTGACTGAGGCAGTGAGGGGACCCCTGTAACCCCCAGCCTGGCTCGTGTCCCTGAGAAGCCCCTTACCTCCCCAGCATCCCAGCTCAGCCCTGGCCCCAGTGCTGGGTGAGAAATGACCTCCCACACCACCAGATGGTTGCTGGATCCCTGCCCAGTCTGTGCCTGCAGAAACTGCCTCATCTGAAATGTCTTAGTTACTGAATGTTAGTTATTGAATGAATAGTTATTTTGTCCCTTCTAGGGATACCTGAATCTTGTCTGTAAAAACCACCAATACTGTTGAAAACAAAAAATCTGCTTAATATATTTATATTATTGTAATTGGTTGCTATATTTACAAAGCTTTTAAAAATTGTAATAGTCCCCATATTGTCTCTATTTCCCCACTGACTGGTTTTGCTTGCTATTTGTCCATCTCCTTTCTTCTGAGCAGAGCTTGGAGTCCCAGTCGGGGTGCCCTCTCCTGAAGGGCTCATAGGACTGCACCAGAACAAATAATACCAGGGACCACATGTTTGGGTAGCAAAATCCTACCTTGGCTCCATAAATACTGGAATGTTACAATAGACAGTACTTTTGCCCAGATACGTTTATCCCTCTTGTTTCTAGCTCCTGTCTAGGCACGAAGCTCCTGTTGAACCACTCACAAGCTTCTCAGTGTCTCTGCCTCGCTGTAGCAATGCCACAGCCCTGATTTGGAGACAAAAACTGAATTTGCTCCCTAAACCTTCAGGGTAGGATCAGCAATACCAGTCATCTGCTCCACCGTGCTGGTTGTGCCTTGCAGCCTGCACAGGCTGTCCCACTGCAGGCTGCAGACCTCCAAAATCAGATTAGGGAGTCAGCAAATA